AGAAAAAAATAAGATAAGATTAGATAAGATATCATGATGTGATCAACCGGTCTCGAAATACTAACCCCTAATTATTATTTATTAGTAGACTAGTCCATAAAAATATTTTTAGCAATGAATTATTGTTAGAAGCTTATACCTTTGTCTAATGAAATGCACCCACTCTCCCAATGGCCAACTACATTAATTTGATGCATGTATAAATGTCTCTCTTCCTACCAAATAAAAGAAAAAAAAATAAATAAAAAAAATTAAGGCCATGTTTGAAATTGATCCCGTTTTTGTTTTTCACTTTTTTCGAGAAAGAAAAAATAAAAACGTTCTCAAAACGGCGTTTGGTGCAATAAAGACAAAAAATAGAAATGAAAACGATTTTTTAGTTTAGTGTAAAATAAGAGAGAAATGAAAAACGACTTTTAATCGTTTTTCATTTATTGTTTTTATTTTCTTCTCTCTAGAGCATAGAGAGATGGAGATATTAATGAATTTGTTTACATTTAAAATAATCTATTGATAAAACTATCAAATACATTTTCAAAAATAATTTCTTTTTGAGATTGAAAACGTTTTTATTTTTATTTTTATATAAAAAATAAAATTATTTTAAAACGAATTCCAAACGTGCCTTAAATGTCTCTCTCTTTCCTCTTTGTTAGTTGGCTGAAAATGGGCCTCCTTTAGCCCAAAATAAACAAGCTCAGGTAGCAACTCGAAGTAATTACATATAATGCCTAATCTTAAACCTATATTTTTAAGGGAGAAAGAGAGAAATAGGTCAAAGACTCATGATGAATTAAAATTAATAAGTCAATAGTTTACATAAGTTAATAAATATGCTAAATTATTGTTTTTGTCCATAACTTATCTGATTATGAACCATAACTTGACAAGTTATTGTTCATAATTCACGGTTTTTGTCCATAACTTGTCTGGCTATGAACCATAACTTGATAAGTTTGTCTATAATTTATCTGGTTATGAACCATAACTTGACAAGTTATGACCTATTAATTTCTATAACTAAAAATTAGCCTATATACTTTCTTAAGCTTTTTATATTGGCCTATTTTTTACTATTTTCGTATTTTTAAAAATATGGACTATTTACAAGAATCCCGATTTTATCTTTATAAGGCATTTTTTCCACTATTGCCCTTATTAGGTAGTTTCGATAATGTTCTTTATATGGTTAGGTTTTATTTATTTGTACACTGATTTTTCTTGATTACAATTTAGATTTTTAATTCCTTTTATTAGCTTTAATTGATTTTTTAATAAATCAGAGCAGATATGTGACAATGTAAGGATGGAATCCATTATTAATTATTTTGACAGAAGTTATTACGATAAAGATCTTCATTACAATAATAAAGAATAAGATCAACTGAACAGTAATAACATCAACTAAACAGTACCAAAGTTGTTCAAAGTCTGCGTGTGATTATAAGGGGAAAGATTGGATAAATTAGGAAGAAACGAAACACATCCTATTTGAAACACAATTAGTATTCATTATTCATAATATATAAACCAGTTTCTGACTTAATGAAAACATTAGAGAAATCAGTTTTGATCACAATGAACCATTAATATTTTTAAAACTATCATTTACGTTAGAATGATAATAATGAAATCTCTCAATAACAGTATGAAAACATTACAATAATGAAAACACAACTAGCATTCATTATTCATATTAAACTAGTTTCGGACTTATTGAAAACATTAGAGAAATCAGTTTTGATCACAATGAATCATTCAATCTTTTTGAAACTGTCATTTACGTTAGAATTACAATAACGAAATCTCTCAATAACAGTATGAAAACATTACAATAATGAAAACATCAGAGAATACTGATTTCACAATGAACCATTCAATCCTTTTAAAACTGTAATTTACGATGGAATTACAATAATGAAATTTTTCAATGAAGTGAAAATCACCATCTGTGACAAGGTGTTCATTGTCAAAATGATACTTGCATAATGAACAGCTCAGTCTTGAAAATGACGTTTATGGAGAAATTATAATAACGAAGTCTCACAATACAAAAATTATATTTATCACAATTATCAAGTAATTAAAATAAAGAAATCTCACATTACAGGAAACCATCAATCAAATAATTTGTGGAAATACATTTAAGCTTTCTTTAAATTAGGATTCTATGTTCTTAATAATTAAAAGAATGAATTTATGAGACTCGGTATTTTAAACTCACATTTTTCCGTGATCGGCCGTTCTCAGGCGGATTTGGCTTTGCATGTGCGGAATCCCCATTTTTCTCGGAGTTGCTTCGACTTTTCGGCGATGACGTCTCTGCTGCTTCTTCCCGGTGGTGTCGACGTTTGGGGTTGACTCTGGAGTGGACTTTTTTTTTTTTAACCCATGGGTGTGATTTGACGGAGGACCGTAGCTGATATGAGGTGTGGGTTGAATCTCTTCGGTTGGAGACGCGATTTATTTGAATGAGCCATGATTTTTAAAAGTTATCGGTGGATTTATTCTTTCCCAATTAAGCGTGCGTTTGGTTTAAGGATTTGTATCATGGTTCGGTTCGTGACTCATTACAGTATTTTTTCTTATAAAAAATACACGTAAATAAAAAATGGTTATGAATCATGATTCTAAATCCATGAACCAAACATCCCTTATGCTATGTTTGGTAGGAATGAAAGAAAATATGATAGAAATGAAATATGGAAGTGATGGAAAATATCAATGATGGAAAGAAAATTGATTTTCTTTTATGTTGTTTGGTATGAGAAGATGGAAAGAAAATGAGTTTACTTTCACTTGTTTGGTATTGGAAGTTAAATTGGGAGGAAAGAAAAAATCTTACTCGTAAATTACTTTTATACCCTTAAATTTTTTGCTTGGATGTTGATGGAGAAAATGGTAATTTAGTAACTTTGCTCACTTTAATGAGTTGTCCCCATTTTCTGCCCACTTGTGGAAATAAAAAAAATGGTGGGGCCTACATGTATTATTTTCCACTCCATTTTCTCTTCCTTTCTCTTTTCTCTGCTACCAAACAACCTACATTTTCATTTTCCCTCTCAAAATCCCTCCACCTTCTTCCTTCCTTCTACTTTTCTTTCCTACCAAACATACTCTTAGAGTGTATTTGGTTGGGAGCAATGAAAAAGAATCAAGGTTCATTCTCATGTTTAGTTAGTTTTAAGAAAATGAATAGTCATTCAAAATTAAATGACTTTTCCATCAAATGTGTGAATCATTATCATTTACTCACAGAAAAATGTCAATTCCAAGCTCTTTTAATTTTCTTTTCCATCATTATCCTTTAATATAATAATTATAAATATTATTATATTA